TTTATTTTCTTCTTGCCGTTTTAGCGCTCTCGGTCTCAAACCACTCCCGCCCAGGGACGGGTCTCGGGCATACTCACCCTGCAGCCAGGGCCAGGAGGACCAAAGTCGCCTCGCCCCGTCACGGCTAAGGCGCTCGCACGTAGCGACGGCAGCAGGGAGGAAGAAAGAAAAGGAAAAAAAGAAAAAAAAAGAAAAAAAAAAAGTATGTTCCTGCCGTGACTCGGATTCGAACCGAGGTTGCTGCGGCCACAACGCAGAGTACTGACCACTATACGATCACGGCCGCCCAACGCCCGGCGCCACCGCCGCGGACGCCGCCTCTCTTCTCCACCGCACTCCTCCAGCCATGTTCCCCATGGTAGGGAAACTGGTGGAAGTTTCACCGGGGAAAAATAAAGCGGTGATGGCGCGGCAAAACGGCAAGGCCGCCTCCCCGTCGGGGAATCGAACCCCGGTCTCCCGCGTGACAGGCGGGGATACTCACCACTATACTAACGAGGAGCGCGCTGCACGCTCCCTGCCCGGTGTCGGCCCGGAAGGCAGGAAGCGCCTGAGGGAAATGGCGGCGGCCCGGGTGCCCTCAGGGAGCCGCCCGCGCTGCCGTGCCCGAACGGGCACAAATGGAGATTCCCCCAAGGCTTCCGTAACCACCTGCGGCCCGACACCTCCTGCGTTTGCCTTGCTCTGAGCTTAAACTAGAGTTTTACGGTGAGTCCCGCCTTCACATTTGAAGGGTGTGGCTGACATGGAAACCCACCCCTTGGCCCCGAAATCCATCAACCTGTTGTCTGCCATCTGGTAATTAATGAGAGGCGTGGTTTGCTGGGTGGTTTACGTTCAGAATTTTCAGATGGTCGCCTGCGGGTTTTCCTTGCTAAAAAGGCAGCAAAACTGGCACTGTGTAATCGGTTTCAGCAACAAAAAAGGGGGAGGGGAAATAACAATTTAAAATACGATTTCCTCTAGCGTTATACAGTCTGAGGGGGATCAGGAACCCCCAAAAAGCTGTCATCAGGAGCTGGCGTTTTTAAGGCAAGTTTGTAACCAGTTTGTGCCGTGTACATGCGTCATTTTGCTCCACCTGCCGCCGAAAGCGTCGGGATAAACCAAACACTATGTTTTAGTGTTAGAAAGTAGGCACTGCTTTATTCACAGCACCGGCGTGCATGGGTACAGCTCTGCCTAGATGCAGGGCCACTTTCCAAACTTTTCACTTATTTATACATTTTTATCAAACTAAGAAATTAATGTCCATTGGTTATAAACATCTTTTCATTAAATAGCATTCTATATCCTGTTGGTTATTGATTTCTCATGATGCACATTTTCAGTCTTTTTACTGTCTTTTTCCCTGATAAGGCGTTTCCAGCACAAATGCTGAATTGTGTTTGTTAGTTTCTTTAACTTCTGGTTTTTGCAACATGTCCTAGGAGGCTGTAAATTCTGCATCCCAGGTGTCCAGTTATCAGCAATACCTCTCTCCCCTAGGCTTTGTTCACTGAAGCTCATCAGGGTTAGTTTAGCAAAACTTAAAAAGTTTCAGTGATTTTTCCCAACCAATTCTAATGATAGCAGTCTGTAAAAAAAAAAAAAATTGGCTGCTTGCTGGTTAAAGTGGAAAATCACACTGTTTATTAGTAGTACAATGCTTGATGGATGTAGTAGTACAATGCTTGATTAAAGACAATTAATTAGAAAGCTAAGTAAAACCATTATATGGCAGAAGAGTTCTTGGCTAAACAGAAGTTCAAAAATTAGTTTTATGAACATGATTGCTTACCTGCAATGTACCATAATTAAGAGGGGGAAAATAAATGTCCATCTTATCCTTTACTCCCTCATTCCTGGACTAGATATGCTTTTGTGATATTACAAATTTAGGTTATATTGGTTTTCTTGGACCAGTTGTTTTTCCTGGGAAAGGAAAGATGTTGAGAGTATTAAATTTGACTCATTGGGGAAGGGAAAAGGAAACACATTTCAAACATTTAGTTCTAAGTATTGCATTTAGACAAACATCTGTCATCAAAGATTCACCATGTACATTCCTGATGCAACAGTTGACAAGGCAATTACTTATTTCTTACTCCAGAAAAAAAAACAATTTCAAACTCTCCCTAGGCATTCTTCTTATCCTGAAAGACTGGAAAATGTATTTGGAAATGTATTTTGAACTCTAATGACACAATAGCTATATATTATAGGAGCAAAACAAACTGTGCTTCTTGCATTTTTAAAATAGTGAAATAGTTATTTCATAATTTTCTTAGAAAATGGTATTTCAAAGGACTGAGTGACCAATAAATTAGGGCTAACCCAAAAAAAAAAAAAAAAGAATCAGGGTTGGTAATAATATGAGTTAGGGCTGCAATCCCTTCTCTTGCAGAAAGACACGACGTTTCATTGCAGTTGCATTGTAGCTTCTGGCTCCTTGCACACAAATTTGAAGTTGTTCTTTCTTTCTGAGCAATCTCCTGCTCTGGAAAAGGTCTTATGCCAGTGGCTCTGAAATTATTTTATGTTAAGATGAGGTCTCACAACAGCAGAAACACAAAGTGACCTCACAACCTCTCTCTTCTCTGACTATTGTCTTTGTCATGATGCTTCTTGAGCTTGAAATTCTAACAAAATCCATTAGAAGTGTTTTTGAGAAAGCACGAGACAGAGTTTAAAATCCATATTCTGCTTACAACAGGCACTCTTCATCTTGTCTCTGGAGTGATTCTATTGCTTCACTTCTGTTTCCTAAAATTTTTTGATCAACTTCCTGAGAACTGTGGTCTCTGATGGAGGTAAACCTACAATCTTGGAGTCCCACAGTGTTAGTGATTGAATGCTGCTGCTTAAGGAATGCTGTTGAATTTAGACCACATCAGGGTTGCTTTTTAAGGTATATGACTTTTTGCAGATTCTTCCAATTCTGCAGCTAATCAAATAATTGTTTTTTGTGGACTGTCCACTTTTTTTTAAGGCCCAGTATGTCACTGGTAAATTATGCTTTTTCAATTTAGAGGTCTTTATTCCAAAAAGCCCTATTATTGTGGGGCTTTCTGCTTCTTTCTTCTTTATGCACATTTGAGTTTTTCTGCCCTTTTTCCAATCAGGTTTCTCTTGTCCTTTTCCTTCCTTACTCCATATTTTCTTACACATCTTCTCACATCATGCCATGCTTTAGCGTCAGCTTTGGGATCTTTTTCTGAGGCGTGCAGGAATGTCTGTGTTAAATGTTGCCCTGGTTTGAGGAAGCTCTTTTATTGTCATGATATTTTCATATATGCTTCTCTATGCAGATATTACCTTATTTTTGGCTTCCTAGTATGTTTTTTATTGATCTATTTAACGTAGGTCGCGTTAGTGGCAAATGAAACAAAGGAGAGGAACTCAGCACTCATACTGATGGCTTGTGAAGGGAAGGGTTGGGAATTTGATTCCTCTACAATTTTTTCACTGACTCAGAGGTATTTAATTCTGAAATATTTTCTGCATTTTTCTAATTAATGCCTTGATTTCACCAGTGATCCAAATGACCCATCACCGGGGAAGGGTTCCCGTTCCTGTGTCCCGGCGCTGGGAGCAGCAGCAGCGCCAGGGGCGGGCGGGGGTCCCGCTGGCGGCTCTTGGGGGTCGCCGTGGGGAGCACGGCTCTCACCTTGCTCCTCGTTAGTACAGTGGTGAATATCTCCGCCTGTCACACGGGAGATCACGGTTTAATTCTCCGGGGAGAATTAAACCTCCTCTCAAGGGGAGGCCGCCTTGCCTTTTATCGCCGGGGAGCGTTCCTGCTTCATCCTCTTCCCATCGCAGCCCCGTCCGCGGCTTGCGGACGAAGGGAGAGAGGGAAGGGTCGGGAATGGTTCCTGCAAAGCGTTGCTGTTCGTTCGGTGGTGGTGGTGCGCGTCCGTGTGCGGGGTGCAGCCTCGCCGAGCCGCTCCGTGCCGCCGGTAATCCCCCCCGAGCACCGCAGGCGGGACCAGGCAAAGAAAAACGAAAGGTTTGAAAGTCTCAATTTTTTAGGAATGCTCCTCACCCCGGTTAGTGCCCTTGCTGCTCTACCACGGCTCCATGAAACAACTCGCCGAGGCGGTGTCTAGGAGGAGCGATCGCGTAATGCTGCAGAACGGCGCTCAGCAGCGGCTGCACCCACGGCACGTCCGTGAGAGAGCCTTGGATGCTTGCACCCACGGTTTCTATCACAAGCTGGCCGGTTAGCTCAGTTGGTTAGAGCGTGGTGCTAATAACGCCAAGGTCGCGGGTTCGATCCCCGTACGGGCCACTTCCTATTTTTCTTTTTTCTCTTGGAGAGAGAGAGAGAGAGAGAGAGATCGCGACTTAGCAGAATATCACTTTATTTTGTTTTGGGGGCGGAGGTGTAACACAGAAAGGAACGCGGTATCCTCCAACAGGAAGCTTGACTTGGGTGGTCATGGGGGGACAGCGAGTGCGAGCCGGGCCGGCGCCTGTCCCCACCCTGCCCGGGCACGGGGCCAGGCTAGCCGTCCACCCACATGTCAGAAACCCGCGGCAGCCGAGGTGGTAGCACCTGGCGATGAGGAGACATCCTCCCCATATCCAACTCCTCGTTAGTATAGTGGTTAGTATCCCCGCCTGTCACGCGGGAGACCGGGGTTCGATTCCCCGACGGGGAGGCGGAGCCGTGCTTTTTTTTCCTCGTGCCGGGGGAAATGCAACTGATCCCCACTTGCTTTTCCCTACCGGCTCCTCAACGAAGTTCGTGCTGGGAGACAAGACAATCAGTGCAAAGCTGGGAGGACCGTGAAGGCACAGCTGGATGCCTTAGGGCAACACACAGCAGCGTCCTGATGCACCGTCGACCCCCTTGGCAATGGAGCTGGCCCGAGCAGCATTATTCTGCTTTCCTGATCGCAACACAGCTGCTCAGTGTCATTTTCTCCTCAAGCGGAGAGCCATCCCTCTGTTCTCAGGAAGTAACAACCCACATTCTCCCAGTTATTGATCAGCTGCTGCAGCACATCTTAAACCATTTCCCCCCTCTATAGTCAACAAGACATCATCAAAATACATGCAATTAAGTATCACCTTTTCCACAGCTTCCTGAAAGCAGTTTAAGGTTCAACATAATACCAAATATTCCCTTTATTCTTTAAAAAAATGTTTTTAAGCATCCCAACATTTTATAAGGCTAAGCAGTGCTATTTAGGCACAAATAATGCTTTCATTTCCCTGAACACATCGCAGTAGTTTGCCATTTTGCAGTCAGCTAAAGCATGCAGAGTAGCCCTGTGAGGCTTTCACCAGTCCTTCACAAGGCAACAGCAACAGGGGGTGACAATGTCAGCCCATCAATCTAAAAGAATGAGTTCACACATATGCATGTTCTAACAAGTCTACAGCATAATTAAGGCAGGAGGTAAGAGTATAAATAGACACACTGAAACACCACACAACATCAGTTTGAATGGGCTGGTTTGCAGGCATTCCTGTTCTCTCAGAATGGCTCAGTGAAAGCAATCCAACATCTTCATGATCCGTGTCAGTGCACCCAGTCTTTGGGATTTCGCAGAACCTCCAGGATTTCTGCTTCTTTGGAGCTCTCTGGTGGGTTGTGCATGTACTCCCACCTGCAAGGAGAGGGGAAACTCATTCAGACAGCCCATTCTCCTGCACCAGGCTGTTTGGACTGGACTTGCCTTTTCTAAGGATGCAAAGCTACAGACATAGTTGATACTCTTGCCTGAGGTGACAGATACGGTTACAAATCACAAGCTCAGTAAAAACAAATAATGCCACCAGGGTAGATGAGAGAGATGTCAGCTTCACCTTTTTATGAATTTTTGAAAAAGCTGGAAGGACAAGGAAAAAGGAAAGAGCAGTGCCCCATTCCCCACAAGGCATGCAGGTTTATTTGCAAAAATCTTTTAACAGTCTCTTGTGACACACTAGTATCACATGGAAGATGAATAAAAAAAGGAACCCACAGAATTTTGACAGTGACATTTTTCCAGAATCTGGACTGGAAACTCTACAAGTCTTTGTTGAATCTTGCTTTTAAAAAAAGTGCATTTCATTGAAAAGGCAACTGAAAGAGGCACAACAGAGAAAGTATCAGCAGTCACAGAGAGATGGGTACATCCTCCTTCCATTTCTCCCCTAGGAATGACCCATTCATACTGTGAAGTGAGTCAGTTACATTGGTGAAAAAGAGCAAACTCGGACAATCCCAGAAATTAAATCAAAACATAGGACATGCTACATCACAGGTCAGGGATACATCAAGTGTCAGTGGGATGAAGATAAATGGTGAGAACAGCACTGCCTTCACGGTTACAGGGCAGCAGGCAGTTTTCCTAGCAGAGGGATGTCATTAGTGAACTTTATGGAATTCATTATAGGATCTGTACTACCCACATACCCAAAAGCAATCTGAAAGTGGGAATAAATAATAAATGACTGAATTTGCTGGTGTCATAAGCATAAGCAAGATGGATTAAAACCTAGAGAGACAGTTAAAAACAGTATTTAGCCAAGCAACTGAGCAGTAAAATGGCAGGTGAAATTCACTGTTGATTGATGTGATGGACACAGGAAAAAGGTTGCATTCAGATTGAGTTAAATTTTATTGCCCAGAAAAGACCTTGGGATCGTAACAGTTCTATGAAAAAGCCACCTCAGTCCAAACAGCAGTCAAAACCAGCAAACAGAGTATTAGGATTATGAAAGGAATAATGAATTGAAACATCGTTATGCCACTGTGAGTCACCAGCACACCTGAATCTTGTATACAGATATGTAGCTTACATTGTCTGTTCCTTATCCCCCGTTTAGAAAGAGCACAGAAAACTTAAGCCTAGAGAAAGTGGCCAAAGTATGAAACAGCAACTGTACAGAAGACTAAAAAGAGCAGGAGTTGTCAGCCTGGAAAACAAACAATGAAAAGCCCCTAGAAGCCTATAAAATAACAACTGTTATGGAGAAAATGAACAGGAAATCATGTTACTCAGTGAAAAGTCAGATGAAGTCATCAGGTTCAAGTAGAAAACAAAGAGGTACTTTCTCATGCAACACACAGTTAAACTGTGGAGCTCCTTGCCACACATTTGGAAGGACTGCCAGAAGCTCTCATGGTTTCTAAGGGCTACTAAACAAAAACCCATGGAGCGAGGACAAGAAATCTATCAAGAGGAACTAAGCACGAAAACCATCAATTTTTTTGCCAGAAAATCTCTATGCCACACACTAGTGGCAACTAGGTGAGTATAACAGAGAAGCATCTGCATTTGTAGAATAGGGAACTGTACTTGTCCAGTTCTTGTATCAGGCATGAACTCACCACTGTTAAGAGACTAGACACCAGGAGAGACTTTTGATTTAATCCTATGAAGTATTTTACTAAGAACAGTGCCTACTGCAACCCCACATAACTACACCCTTACCTTGCAGTCAGTGGCAGAGACATAAGAATGCTTTCGATTCTTGATCCTGGTGTCAGGAGGCCAAACTTTGTACCTCTGTCATAAAGCAAGTTGAACTCTACATACCTATGGGAATGAAGAGATGCAACAGAAAAAAAAAAAAACGAGTTTATTAGCAGAAGTTGGCTGTGCTTTCTTCAACTGGAAGACCTCAAATAAAACCAGTCTGTCTTTCTGCTGAGTTGGGGGTCAACTGTTCTTTAGCATCCTCTGCACAGGAATGCAGGTGTGACCTTGCCACTCCACAGAGCACAGGGAGAAGTGACCTCAGCTAAGAGACTAGAGCAGACCAGCTGTTCAAAGGAGAGCAGTCTGCAGGCTCCTGTGCTGTACTGTACTCCTCCCATGCCTCAGCCCTGCTGGCGAGCTCGACACGTTTACCTTGGTTCTTCTATTCTTTGTGGGAGTGTCAGACATAAAGAGGGACTTTAAAGGTACTGAAAATAACCAGAGAAAAATTCTACTGTGCAGTCCTCCATGCTGAAGGACACATAAGCAGCATTGTCAGAAGAGTGTTTCCTGGTTCCTGGGAAGATCTGGAAAGCAGCAGAAGTCAGATAGGTTTACAGTGCTGGCTGGGACTTGTAAGTGATGAAATAAGACCATTTTCTGCTCCCAGCATAGGAACAGAGCTGTGACAATTCATCAGGGATTATCTTGATAGCCAGTACAGGGTGTTTGAACTTAAAGATATAGGAAGGGGAAAGCTCTTCTCTATCTGCAGAAATGGAAAGCTTTACATAGCCCCATAACCTGCAAACAGACCCAGGGAAATAGACAGGCCTCAACAGCTGGTCCTGGCTGCAACCTAGAAAAGGTATGCCCCCTTTTAAACTTTGCAGGTTTGCTAAATCACATCCACAGACTGGATCCTGAAAGCCCAAGGTTCCCAAGAACAGTCCCACCAAATTAAGGACGCTTGCTTAAGTGACCAACAGCTGCAGGCCAGTGAACTGAACTTGAATGCTTACACTCTTTCCATGCCAGTCTCACATTTCTCTGAAGAACAGGCAGGAACTCAAGACTCTAGTTAAGCACAATGCCCGTGTAATTTCATTTCTCCATATACTCACACAATCACAGGACATGGAGAACAGAGTACAACTGTATTGACCAATGTACTCAAGCTTTTGCACCATTAACAGCTGGTGACATTAACAAGCATCCTCCTAAGTCTTTTACAGTAACCTTGGACCATGCCAGAATAAAAAAATCCAACCCTCTGTATTCCTTTGTACAAATCCTCAATTCCTTTACAGGAATTTCAATGCC